ATTCTATTCTATTCTATTCTATTCTATTCTATTCTATTCTATTCTATTCTATTCTATTCTATTGTGTTTAGTAGACATCGCATCATTTTATGGTTGTAACAAGTTTTCCAAAAAGTCCTTAACTCATTTTTTGTTAGTAGTAAAACCAAACAAACAAAAATAATGGAGAATGATCAAGGCAAAAGTGTTGGAAGACATTTTGGGCACAAGGCTATCAAACTGAATCCGAGGATCTTGTTTTTGGTTACAAGTATGGTTTTCAGTTTTCGCATGTCAATCCCCTCACTTGAGTTTCTGGAAAGAGAGAATGCATCCTGTCTCTTTAGCAGAATCTTTCTCAAGCAGGGATATAAGCACCAAGGCACTGGTTGAATCAATAGAACAAACCTCTTCTTCATCCTTAGCTTAGCACAGAATCATCTGACTAAAGAAATGCAGCACAGAAAAATCTTCAGCAATGTCTGAAGGAGAAGCGGCTGTAGTTTATGAGAATGTAAAAAAAAAAAGACTGTCCCCGTTTAATGTATGAAACATTTCTTTCCTGAAACAGCGTCCCAGGATTCAGCAGTAATAAAGAGCTGCCTTTTTAAGTCTGAAAAGCCTGGGAAGGGGCAAAATATTTATGAGAGATTCACCCTGCACATTGCATTTTGTTTTCACTGTACTTTTTTTATTTTGCTTTTTAAAAAAAAAACGTTTTTGATGTCCGTGGGGTATGTGTGGGAAGTTTTAAAATACTTGGGAATGTTTTTAACAAAGATTAACAAAAAAAAAAGAAACCCTGCCAAGTGGCTGGGACTTTCGAGAAAATGACTGAAGATGTTGCACGAAGATTTTGGATCTGTTGATAAATTTGACTGCTTTATGAACATGCTTAATTTCCCTCCTCCCCTTAAATCCACAAAGACTTGTTTTCTGTTGTCTTAGAACACAGGAGCCAGAATAAAAGTCTTAAGAGATAGAAAGTCGGGTTCCAGTAACTTCCTAAAAGTAAGATTAATTTGAGAATGAAAGTAGCTATTCAGAGGGGTTGTGAGTTCGTTTTATAGGGTATGTTCAGGAAGAGGCTGTTGGTGATATTTCCAGCTTACAGCATCTCCTAGTTACATCCAACTACAGTGGTGCCCAACAGTAGTGAAGACAGGTTTTAATATCATCCATCAGCAATGGATGAATGATGCTATGAAGATGCTCGTGTAAGTGATGGCATAGTGGTTACAATGTAGTACAGGTTGTCCTCAACTTATGATCACAATTGAGCCCAAAATTTATGTTGTTAAGTGAGAAACGTCTTAAGTGAATTTGCCCCATTTTCTCTCCACATTTGTTAAGTGAATCACTGCATTTCTTAAATTAGTAACAGGGTTGTTAAGTGAACCTGATTTCCCCGTTGACTTTGCTTGTCAGAAGGTTGCAAAAGGGGATCACATAACTCTGGGACACTGCAGCTGTCATAAATGTGAGTCAGTTCTCAAGCATCCGAATGTAACTCACCTGACCATAGGAATGCTGCAACGGTCATAAGTGTGAGAAATGGCCCTCAGTCACTTTTTTCTGTGCCGTTGTAATTTTGAATGGTCACTAAATGAACTGTTGTAAATTGAGGACTGCCTGTACTACAAGCTAACTCACTGCTCACTGCCAGGAGTTTGATTCTGACCGGCTCAAGGTTGACTCAGCCTTCCATCCTTCCGAGGTCGGTAAAATGAGGAGCCAGACTGTTGGCGGCAATAGGCTGACTCTCTAAACCGCTTAGAGAGGGCTGTAAAGCCCTGTGAAGTGGTATATGAGTCTAAGTGCTATTGCTATTGCTATAAATCCACAATAGGGAAATGATCTAGATCTAGATTGCAGGTGCTATGGCAACTAGATACTACCACCACCACTAACCACAGCAATGAATTCAAAGATAATCTGAGAGTTGCTAGAGTTTGGTCACAGAGGAGAATATTTGGAAGTGGCTAGAATTAACATCTCACATTACATAGGGAAAGCATCGGATCAAAACAGACTAAATCAGCCCAGGGAGTCCTCGACTCACAACTGCCATTTAGTGAGCATTCAAAGTTAACGAAGGCACTGAAAAAAGTGACTTCGGACCGTTTTCCCACTTACAACAGTTTGCAGCATCCCCTTGGGCATGTAATCAAAATTCAGACGCTTGGCAACTGGCTCATATTTATGATGGTTTTGCAGTGTCCCTGGGGGGGGAGGGTCATGTGGTCCCCTTTTGTGACTTTCTGACAAGCCAAGTCAATGGGGAAGCCAGATTCACTTAACAACTGGGTTATTAACAGCGGCAGCAGTTCCCATAACAACCGTGGCCAGAAAGTTTGTAAAAAAAAGGGGGGGGGGTCAGAACTCACTGAACAACTGTGTTGCTTTGGGCTCAATTGTGGTCCTAAGTCAAGGGCTACCTGCATTCCAAAAGGAACAATTTAATCACATAAGCTGATATTGTAACTGTTAGGTGATAAGGTGCTAAATGAAAGTGTCACAGCAGATCAGATCCTGCCCCAGAGACAGGCAGGGTTTAATATCCTGAAATGAACCCAGTCAGCTGTGTCTTCTATAAGGGTTGCCATTGACAATCTCTGTGTTAACTTAATAGAAGTCCCATGCAAATTCCGTCTCTCTCCCCTGCCTCCTTCCCCACTGGAGTTGGCTATCTGAATGCCAAATACAGTTCGCTAAGCTCACACAGATCCCTTTGTTCGATGGGTCCATCTGCACTGACAGCTCTAGCAAGCAATGTGCTCAAGCACGGCTTGCCATCAAAGCTCATGGCAATCAGCACAGCTCTTTAGTCCTTACGAGCCGATGGATGGAAACGGTGGCTGGTAAAAATAGCTGTCTGGGAAATGTGGCGTTTAGCGTTCATTTGATTGGTTCGTTGCTTCGTTCATGGAATGCCCCCAAAGCAGCAGGCAATAAAATAAATAAATAAAATAGATGGTGCATGAAGAATGGGGAGAAGGGAGGACGGGAAAGCAGGGGAAATGATTTCAGTAGCAAATGGGGAAGGGACGGAAGCAGTCTGGTTGTCTGGAGTTGTAATAAAGATCCCAACTTGAAGATTTATAGTCAGAAACTGCCTTCCCAAGAAGCTGGGTGTATCCATTTTTGGCAGCCAGGAGGACTGCATTTGAAAATTCTGAATTGCCTTCCATATAGATCTGGAGGTCTCCCAAAATTGGAGAGGCTGCTCTGAAGAAGAAGGATGAGATGATCATCACTAAAATTGAGTGAGCCTGGCTTTATCTGGTCCTGGGTTGAAAGGGTCTAAAGACAAGGTCATGCAAGGTCTGAATTCAGAGGGGGAAAGGGGTTGGTTTGGAGATCCAGTAACTTAATTTACTAAATTCATAAATTAATTGTAAAACAGCCCAAACCTGGCCTTTTTCTTATTAAATTAACTCATGTTAATTGTCTGACCCATCTTCCAATGAGGCAGTCTCTGCTGCCATCTTGTGAGCAATGCATATAGAAGAGGAAAAAAAATGTTATAATGACTTAATGTTCTGGAATTTGTTAACCATCAAACAATAAAAAATAAATCTTCCTTCCATCTGTCTGTGCTCTGCTTTAAATGGTAGAAATGTTTATATTTATCTAGACAGGACTGAGAGAGTATTGACCTGACTTGTAAAGGACTGAAATGTGAGAACCAGTGAGAAAGAGGAATTAATATTTTCCATATTCTAACCAAAGAACATGGTTAGAGTATAGGGAACTAATAAGTATTTATCCTAGGAGTTGATAGATTAGCAACAGACTTTGCTGGGATGTATTATGGGAAAAGCTAAAATAAATAAGTTATTTCAGGCACCCGAAGCTCTTGGATGCTATATCACTGTCAAACTCATATGCTGTCAGTTCTAGAAAATAACCATGATGCTTTGGGGCATTTCTTCACTGGATTCTCCAAGGAATATTATCCAGAACATCTCTGTGATGCTTAATTAACCATGATTGTTGGTGGATTGGGATTATAGTCCAATATTTATAGATTTCACCAGGCTGGAAGTTTCTTTGGGATGCCAACTTCTTTTAGAAGTACAGCTTGAAACCCAAGTTCGTGTTATTTTTATGATGTGGCTGCTTGCCTCCACATTTATAATTTCATACCTCAGTCACATACAGTGGAGAGTACATGACAGAAAGACTAAATGACTGTTTCCCAAACAAGGGTGCAGCTCTCCTGGGTAGTGGGGATAAGGGTAGGTTAAGGAGCCATGGTGGCACAGTGGTTAGAATGCAGGACTGCAGGCTAAATTCTGCTCACATCGCCAGGAGTTCAATTCCTTCAATCCTGACTGGCTCAAGGTTGACTCAGTCTTCCATCCTTCCGAGGTCAGTAAAATGAGGAGCCAGATTGCTGGGGTCAAGAGGCTGACTCTGTAAACCATTTAGAGAACGTTGTACAGCGGTAGGTAAATCTAAGTGCTGTTGCTATTATCCATTGTGCTGCTTTGGTAGTGAAATAATCTGAGTTTCAGCCTGTTTAGAACACTTACCTCATATTCTTGAGATTGATTTGATACATACCGTCATATCTGCTGTGCTGGGTCTGCTCTCTTTCCTGCGGGACTAATGCTGTTAATCTAATTGATAGAGGTTTCACATGAGATCATGCTCCAGACTGCAAAACGGTTAGACAGAGGAAGAAAAAAATCAGAGTTGCATCATTTATTCTGCCTTTCAAAGCTGTTCCCTACCTCTGTTGCTAAACTTGTCCCTTTCTGTTTTAGCTGCGGGTTGACGGCTGCTGTGGCTGTTCAGCACCTGAGTTCCCATGTCTGGCTAATTATCTAATTTAGAACTGCTTGAAAATAGCAGTGGGGGTTTTGACACTGACACCCATGGTGCCAAGTGGAGTGACACTGATTAAAAACCTGGCTCTGTTTGCATTCTGGGGCTTATGCTGCTTTTCATTGGTGTCAGCTCTATGCTTACATCTCTGTTCCATTTCCTGTACAATGGACTGGAGGTAGGAAGTGAGTGTATGGAGTTGTTTCCACAGCAGAAAAGTAGAAAGTGTGTACAAATCATGAGAAAATAACTTAGGGCTGACATTAGAAACAAAAGGCAACAAATGTCCATGGCTCCCGCAATGCCAAGATCATCCAATGGGTAAACTGCTGTGGAGAGGTTTTAATTTCCAGTTGAGATTAATATTTCACTGGCTGGCAAAACCCTGTTGATTATCTGCCATTCTTATTCAGATTGTCTTTTATTTTAGAAGCAGAATGAATGATAATTTTTCTATTCTTCCTTTGCAAGTATTTATTACCAAGAGCTTCCTCCCTACTAAAGGTTTTATACTGGAATGACTCTCTGTCATTACTGTTTTATGGAGAGGAAAGGCTTAGGGAGTCTGTGTGGGATGGCGGAAAGAGTGTCATTACTACAATCTGGGGCTGTAATGATTTATCACCCCATCCCTTCAAGTGCAGATTTCTAACTGTTCGGGAGTACAAAAATCTGGAATGGTCTTCCCCCACCTGGGTACCCTCAAGCTCTGTGGACTTCAAAAGAATTCAGAATTCTCATCAAAGGTTATACTCAGGGGTGGGATTCTACTGGTTTGTACCCATTTACTAGAACCGGTTGTTAACAGTCTAAGCAGTTCGGAGAACCGGTTGTTAGAAGAAATTACTGGCCTAATCCTGTAAGGAAGGCAGGAAGGAAACATTCTGGTGTTGCTTACAGAAACTGCCTCTCCGTTAACCCTTATTACATTCTTGGCAGGACTAGACTTCCTGTCTCTGGAATTTCTCTGGAGTTTTTTCCCCTCCTTTGCTGGTACTTTGCTTGTGTGGAGTGAACATTCAAAGTTACAATGGCACTGAAAAAAGTGACTTATGACCATTTTTTACACTTATGACTTCCCCAGCTTCCCCACAGTCATGAGAGGCCAGGTGAGGAGATGTGTGCCTCTATGTGAGTGATGTTGAGTTGGCCACACCCAGTCACATGACCATTAAGCCACGCCTGCCAGCTAAGCCACACCCACAGAACCGGATGTCAAAAAATTTGAATCTTACCCCTAGTTATACTGCTTGGGGAATTGTAGGTGGTAGTCTACATATCTGGAGAAGCTTGAATGGAAAAGGCAGATCTATGGCATGTAGAAAATTGTTTTCCCATTGAGGACCAAATGAGGTAGATTAGTTTTAGATGACTTTCTTTCTTCCCTATTGAGCTGGACACAACAGAATGTGATCTGAATAAGATCTCTCTCTCTCTCCTGTTTCTGTCCATCCATCCATCCATATATCTCTCTCTCCCTCCCTCCATATCTGTCTGTCTATCTGTATATCTATCTATTCGCTTTTTTTTCCCTGAATATAATGGGGTGGCTTATGTAGTTGCAGAATATACACAGAAGCTACAATGAGATGAGCATGAATATATTACATTATCTTGTACTGGCCTACCAACCCAACTCTACCATCCAGTCACAGCAGAGAGGTGTTTTAATATCTCCTTCCTAATCTAGTTCCAATAAGAAATATTAGAAATTACCTATGTATCAGGGTTGAGCCATAGGTGACAGTGAGAAAAAAGACTGGGACAAGTCAGAACCAATGGGGAAATTAGGATCCAGAGTGGATAAACAGAATGACTGAGCAAACTAGGTATACCTAGTCTAATGAAGAGAAGGCCTAGGGGTGATACGATAGCCATGTTCCATTACTTGAGGGACTGTCACAGAGAAGAGGGGGTCAACGTAGCCTCAAAAGCACCTGAAGAGAGAACAAGAAGCAATGGGTGGAAGATCATTAAAGAGAAATCCAACCATTAGGAATAAATTTCCTGACAGTGAGAACACTTAATCACTGGAGCAGCTTACCTTTGGAAGTTGTGAGTGCTCCATCACTGGAGGTTTTCAAGAAGAGACTGGGCAGCCATTTGTCTGTAATGGTATAGAGCAGGGGTGCCCAACCCCCAGTCCGTGGACCAGCACTGGTCTATAGTATGCCAGAAACTGCGCTGTGCAAACAAGCAAAGCCCCGTCGATGGGATGCAGGCAGTACATGAAACCACATTCCCTCCAGTCCACAGAAAAACTTCTCTCCATGGAACCAGTCCCTGGTGCCCAAAAGGTTGAGGGTCACTGACCTACAATTTCCCTTCCAACTCTATTATTCTATATTCTATGACTAGCTAGGGATAGTAGAGCATACACTCATGCTCAGGAATTTCTTGTGACTCAAACCTGGCTCAATTGGAACAGAAAATCTTTATGCTGCAATTTGTTCAGGAACAGTGAATGGGCAGCCTGGAAATACGTTACTGAAAAGCTGTCGGTTTCCATTTAGTGACTTGCCATATAGGCATGAGTAGATAGATCAGCATCTCCTGTGAGATGCTTTTGGACAGTATTTATGATTTTCAGCATGCAAACCGGTGCTGTGAGCTTGAGAGTTGCATAAGGATAGTGATAGTATCCCAAAGGGTGATGAGCTGACAGACTCAGAAGACTGGCAAATATCCATTATGGCAATAACACACTCAACCTCCTTTCTCCAAAGCCTTCCATATGGGATATAAGCAAATTCTTATCTTTTATAATTGATATCTGTGCGTGTTTTGCCAGATGGCCCTTAAAATCCCAGCATTGCTAGGAGCTTATTCGTGTACATATGATAACATTTCTCCACATTTAATGGATGGAAACTGTGTGTACATAGTGTCCATTGAGATGTATTGCGCTTGAGCTTTGAAGAAAGTTGTGATTGTTATCTCTAACAATAATGCAATGAGTGCTAAGCAGAGATTTTCCTGAATTCTATCTCTGGCTGCCCCACCACCACCACCACATCAGTACTTGTTCTGTCTGATCATGAAAGCATCCTGCATCTGGTTGGTAGTGATTCAGGTTAGCTCCAAAGTAATTGAGCGAATCTGCTTTTAATAAAATCCCTCTCCTGCCTCTCTAGGTTTTGGGAAGGGGACCCTTGCCCTAAAGGCAACTTCCGAAACCTTTCCCTTGTTTAAAGTTCCCTCCCACATTTTTATTTTATTTATTTATTTGATTTGTCAATCGCTTACAAGACAATAGGTATAAGTATATACATAGTTATGAATACATGAAATGGGTACATATAAGAAAAATAAAAGAAACAATAGGACAGAGACGGTAGGCACGTTGGTGTGCTTATGCACGCCCCCTACAGACCTCTTAGGAAAGGGGTGAGGTCAATAGTAGACAGTCTTAAGGTTAAAGTTTTGGGGGTTTGGGGAAGAAACCACCCAGAGTCAGGTAAAGTATTCCAGACATTGACCGCTCTGTTGCTGATGTCGTATTTCCTGCAGTCAAGTTTGGTGTGGTTAACCTTGAGTTTGTATTTATTGTGTGCTCTTGTGTTGTTATGGTTGAAGCTGAAGTATTCATTGACAGGTAGGACATTGCAATGTATGATTTTATATACCATACTTAGATCAGACTGAAGACGGCATAATTCAAGGTTTTCTAGGTCTAGAGTTTCAAGTCTGGTGGCATAAGGTATTCTGCAATGAGTAGAGGAGCGGAGAACTCTTCTTGTGAAATATTTCTGGACTTTTTCAATTGTGTTAATATCAGATACATGATATGGGTTCCAGACTGATGAGCTGTATTCAAGTATAGGTCTAGCAAATGTTTTGTATGCTCTAGTTAGTAGTGTGATATTACCAGAGAAGAAGCTACATACGATTAGGTTAACAACTCTTAACACCTTTTTGGCTATGTGGTTACAGTGGGCAATTAAAAACAAGACAGCCATTTTGATCTTCCTTCCCCTTCTACCCTAATTAGGTGCCAAAACTAAACTCTCCCTGTCCTCCAATGAATATTCCTTTTAAAAACCTTGCCTTGATTTCAGGCTGAAATGTAGAGGAAGCAAGTGAGCAAGGAGAAAATCTTGCTGAAACTTTTTCTCCCTGAACTTAAAAAAAAAAGTCACCTCTAAAAGTTGTGCCAGGAAAAACTGAGGGTGCTGGTCATTTGCAGGTTTTAGCCTCTCCCCTTGACTGCATGTAAGAAGAGAGTCTACAGTGTAGCCTTTAAGTCCTAGCCTGACAGGTAGTCAGGCTAGAAAATAAGAGATAAGCCTTATGATAGATATTTCTATGCTGAAAGATCTGTGACTGTTGTCTTGATTGTGGCTTGAAACTCCTCTGTGGCCTAAGGATATTGGGGGGCCAGAGGATCTCATAAGATAGTGATGGAGGGGTGTGCACTGAACAAATAGCTTCATTTTCAAACAAAAGTTGAAGTAGGTTTAGGAGGGTTTTTCTCAGGCAGACTCATTTAATTTAGTTTGCCTTGGAAGAATTCTTAATTAACACCATTGTAATCCATTCTAATTGTTTGTTCCATGTGATGAAACAGAGATTTATAATGTCTACGGAGTGTCTTCAGTCATCCAGGTCATGGTTGTCCCCAAAGTGTGTGTGTTTTTTTTAAAGGCAACTGAATTTTGTTTTGTTTTGTTTTTCCTTGAAGATGTCGCTTCTCATCCAAGAAGAGCTGAAGAAGTTTTTTGGATGGGGGAGGGCGGAGCTGGTGTCGCGACAATACGGCATGCGATCTTGGAGGTCTGAGATCGCTGCCGATATCTTTGCTCCTGGATGGTCCAATCGGATCTAAACTGTCCCAAAGAGATGGTGAATGTAAAGAGCGCATCCTGTCGATCCCAGGGATACCGCAAAGTCCCTGGTAGATCCAGGAGAAGCTCCTTTTGCCAGCGGCAAAGAGGCAGCCATTAAAGTTGCTGAAGTTGGGACTGCTCCGAAACGGAAGAGAACGGAAAGAGAAAGTGTGCCGCTTTAGTGAGAATTATTTCTTTATTTTAAGATTTGAAAGGACACCCTAAGGAAAAGAAAGAATCTGTAAAAGTTTTGACAGAAGTGACTAAGCGGCGATTTTAAACAGGAATGTCAAAGTAATATTTTTATTTTTTTTCTCATTGCTGGATTTTCTACACATGATTTTATATTTTGAAACTGGACTGTTTTTTTCTTTTCTCTTCTTTCACCTATTCTTTCTCTCCTTTTTGACTTTATAATATTCTAGGCTAGAGACTCCCTTTTAGTCATCTTTTTTAATACCTTTTTCCCTTTTTAATTAATTTTTATTATATTTTGTTTGGAAAAGGAGGGGGAAAGTGAAAACAAAGAAACTTTGTAACACTGCCAACTAGAGGCTTGGAAATATTCTATTTCCTTTTCTTGACCAGACAAAGCTGAGAAAGAACTGAGACTTCTTTTCAAGGACATTGCCTGTTTGATAAGATAGAGGGAAGAGCACGGGAGAGTATTATTGCAGGTGCTCTTCTGGGTTTCTATCAACAGCTGGAGTCTGGTGTTGAAGCTTATAGGAAAAGAAAAGGTGATAAGTCTCTGGAAAAGAGGGTAAAAACAAGAGCCTTGGATAATTAAACAAAGTGCAGTGTGCTCTTTTTATTTTTTCTAAGTTGCACTACCCCTCCTCATCAGTTTACTTTTTGTAATAGCTATTTGGATTTTTGGCCCTTTGGAACTTGTCTTTGTTTTTTTTTTCTTGTCTTTGGAAGTTAAATTTCTACGTTTGCTTTTTATTTTAAAGGAAAAGCTTTCGTATTAATGATTTCCTCCCTTTTCTTTTTAAGGGAGTAGTCTTTTTTCTTTTTTCTCTCTCCCTCTCTGGTTTTTTGTCTTTCCATCTACCTTCCATATTGGTTTTTTTTTCCTCTATTTTTCTGGCCTTCTTTTTTTCTTGTGCATCCTTTTATATCTGAGACCTCTTAATTGGATTAAGGTGTTGAAGAACCTGAAGAATTTTTCCTTTCTCTTTTTTAGCTTTTTATTTTTCATTTTTCCACCTTTTTTAGGATTTTACAACTTTTTATTTTTTGTGTGTGTTTATGGTCTTTTCCTCCATTTTTGAATTTTTACTGCTATCTAACCAATCGATTGGATTAAGGTATACAAGAACCTGAAGAATTTTTTTTCCTTTAAAAAAATATTATTATTATTATTATTATTATTATTATTATTATTATTATTATTGCTGTTGTTGTTGTTGTTGTTGTTACTATTTGGCTTCTTTTTTCCTACTATTTTTATTTGGACTTGTAAATGGTTATTTCACAATTGGATTAAGGTCTAGAGGAACCTGAAGATTTTGAATTGCTCGAAATGAGTAGAAAATTAACAGCTCCTGGTTCCTCAACTTCTACTTCTTCCTCTCCACCATCTGGAGGACAGCATTCAATACAGACAATGTTACGGCAAGAAAAAGAAAAAGTGACCCTGCAGATGATTATGCAAGGAATTCAAAATATTCAAACAAGAACAGAGAATATTGAAAAGAGAACAGAGAACATCGAACAAAAAACAGGGAAAAACCAACAAATGATGATGAAGTATGATGAGAGACTCCAAAAAATTGAAGATGATAAACAGAGACAAGAAGATTGGAGATATTGATAACAGATTAACTGTGGTTGAACAAGATAAAAATAGTATGCTGAGATGGGAGATGGACAGATCAGAATTTTTATCTTAGATTCCAAAACATAGAGGAAGAAAAGGGACAAAACCTAGCTGAGATAATGATAGAAATATTGGCTGAAGCTTTGGAAATAACTGAAGAGAAGATGATGGATGGAATAGATGAAGTATATTGAGTCTTCACAAGATATGCGATAAGAAATAGCTTACCAAGAGAAGTTCACATCAGATTTACAAAGAAAGCCATTAAAACGCAAATATTGCAAGTGGCAAGAGAGAAAACATTGAAATAAAAAGACAAGGAGATTGTGGTCTTGAAACAAGTACCCAGAAGAGTGAGAGAGATGAGAAGAGAATACCAATTCCTGACCAAAATGCTACTTAAAAAAAAGGTGAATTATAGATGGCTGATTCCAGAAGGTTTAATGTTCACATGGCAAGAACAGAGATATAGAATTGACTCAATTGAGAAAGCAGAATTATTTCACACAGAATTTTTTGGAAGGAAAGAGGAAGAGGCAGAAAAAGAGATCCCACTAACTGAATTCCAAGAGGACTG